AATATCCATGCCCAATCTAATTTGCATGGTTAGAGTGCAGGCTATAATTGTGGCACATTTATGAGTATTATGAATGATTACCCTCATCATCCTCTGCTCCCGAGTCTGGTGCTTCGTTATCCTCCTGATCAAATCCATCTAAGTAGGTGATTTGCTGCAGCAGTTCAAAAATACTCTCTCTATAATCTTCTAGGGTTGTGATCTCACAGTTAAACAAGTCAAGACTTTTTAAATTTTTAAGATTTTGCTGGAAAAATAAGAAGTTAAAACTTACAATCAAAATGTAAAATATCTTGTTATTTTCTTTTAATTCATGAACCAGAAAACATGTACTTGAAATCAGAGGATGAGTTTTGAATCTTTAGAATTTTATAATGAAGGGTTATTATATCAAATACAGCCAATTCTCTTAACGAAGCGCTGGCATGCTAACTCCACAGAAGTAGGAACTTGGTTGTGTTCAACTGCTGTGTCTCCAGCACCTGGCTTAGTGCCTTACTTATAAAAGGCACTCAATATATTTGTTGAGCAGATCTACGCACAAATAGGCAACAATAATAACATGTTTAGTTTAAATCCACAAACTTACTTCCAACAATTTCAACCTCTTCACAAACTTTTTAAAAATCAGAGCAACAATTTTCACTTTATCTTCTTTTCCTTTCCTCATACTAGGAAACAAATGAGCAAATAATGAAATAACTAAAAAAAAAAAGTCAAGAAGAAAGGAAAAGGAATAGAATTTAAGAAAATACTAGAAATTTTCAGACCAGATATTCAACTCTTAAAGTTGATACTAAAATAAGTTTCTCATGGGTTTAAAAAATTATCTTAATGTTTTACTTAAAAGGAAAAGAAAGCCTTAACCAGATCAATGATTTTCAACCAGTGTGCTGCAAGAATTTTTAAAACATGCAATACCTGACTAGTCAGGGGCACTCAACTCTTTTTCCCTTAGATTGTCAAATAAAAAAATGACAACACGCCCTAGCCAGTTTTGCTCAGTGGAAAGCGTGTCAGCCTGTGGACCAAAGGGTCCCAGGTTGGATTCCGATCAAGGGCACGTACCTTGGTTGCAGGCTCCTCCCCAGCGTGGGCCCTGGTCAGGGCTTGTTCAGGAGGCAACTAATTGATGTGTTTCTCTCACATTGATGTTTCTCTCTGTCTTTCTCTCTCTCTTCAACTCTCTCTAAAAATCAATGGAAAAATATCCTCAGGTGAGGTTTAAAATAAATAAATAACAACACAACACTAGCCATCTGGTGTGAATGCCCTGTCTTGAACCATAAATACGTATGTCATATAATAGAATTGCATCTTATTGGTCACATCACATAAGGTTGTATCTGATTGGTTAATTCTTGATACCAGAAATTCTGTATAGGCACTTGATTTTTTAAAAAGTCACTTTGGAGCCAAAAGGGTAGGTAATTATTTTTTTCTGTAAATCATTCAAAATGCTATCCTTTTTTTTGGTCAGATCAGCAAAACATGTATTTTTGTGTGTGTAGCAGAACTTTAGTAATTATTTTATGTGTGCCATGAGATGAAAAAGGTTGAAAATCACTGATCTAGATAATAATATAAGAAATTCAGAAGTTTCACAAGAATGAAATAGAAATCAATAGGATAACCTCTCCTGATATTTAAATATTTGATTAAATATTTATCAGTATTTTTCACAATAAGCAGATAAAAATTTCTGATATACATGAATTTTCACTTTTATTCTGATAGGTAATATCAATGAAAATTGTTATTCAAAGTACTATGAATATAATATCTGTTTTTTAATAATTAAAAACCATCTGAAATTTTTCAATGTTTTCAATAGTCTTCTAATATTGGTGTCTCATTTGAGAGTGACTGATTAAACTTTATTGTACCTATCTTCTTTTACTTTTTTCCTTCCAGCATGGTATTCATTGTATGCCTTTTAACCTTCTTATTTATATTCTTTTTTTAATATATATTTTTATTGATTTCAGAGAGGAAGAGAGAGGTAGAGAGATAGGAACATCAATGATGAGAATCATTGATTGGCTCCCTCCTACACACCCCCTACTGGGGATCGAGCCCACAACCCAGGCATGTGCCCTTGACTGGAATCGAATCCGGGACACTTCAGTCCGCAGGTTGACACTCTATCCACCAAGCCAAACCAGCTAGGGCCTTATTTATATTCTTGTATTCTACTGATGAATAAAAGAAAAATATTTGTCTACTAAAGCAATATTTTTCTGTTCCTGCTAATATATATATTTTATATATATATAATATGCATATGTGTTATATATATGGTATCCCCAAAAAGATGTATATACACTTAGCAGCTGATAGCTCAATTTTGAAAATGAAATGTGTTTTAATAAACACTGACTTTATAATTATTCAAAGTGTGTGTATACTTTTTTTGGGGGGATACCCTATACATGCAAATCTCAGAAAATTCAACCAAGAAAGCAAGCCCAGAGACAAACCTTTCCACTTACCAGAGCTTCTAGTGCACTGAGATCTTTTATTTTGTTTCCACTCAGATTGAGGTGGGTAAGATTAGGACATTTCTCTGCCAGGACTTCCAACCCTCCAGAAATTCTATTGTTACTAAGTTCCAACTATATATTCAACATGGGGAGAAAACGAAGAATGGTGAAGACTTAGGACAGATCAAAGATTTTAAAAATATATCAATTTAACAGAAAGCATTTGTCATTCTCTCTGGCTTCAAGACTGTCACAAGTAATTAATTTCTAGATTCCACCTACAACCACCAAAGAGTATTTTAGAACTTCTGTATGGATGGATGCTTAATTTATGATGGGCTATATCCAGATAAACCCACCATTGTAAGTCGAAAATACTGCAAGTCAAAAATGCATGTAATGCCCCAGTTGGGTTGTTCAGTGGTTAGAGCATCAGCCTGCAGACCAAAGGGTCACAGGTTCTATTCCCAGTCAAGGGCACACAGTTCGTTTGCAGCTCAATCCCCAACCCAGGTCAGGGCACATGCGGCAGGCAACCAGTTGATGTGTCTCCGTCACATAGATGTTTCTCTCTTTCCCCTCCTCTCTCTCTTTCCTTTCCCTCCCTCCATTCTCTCTAAAAATCAATGGGAAAATATCCTCACATAAGGATTTTAAAAAAATGCATTCAATACACCTAACCTAGCAACATCATAGCTTATGCCTAGCCTATCACATGCTCAGAATACTTACATTAATTAGCCTATAGTTGGGCAAAATCAGCTAATACAATTAACATATACACTGTAGGATATCAGTTGTTTACCCTCATGATCGCGTGTCTGACTGGGAGCTGTGGCTCATTGCCACTGCCCAGCACCACGAGAGGGTAACATACCCCATATTGCTAGCCCAGCAACAGATCAGAATTCAAAACTGGCGGTGCAGTTTCTACTTAATGCCTATTGCTTTCACACCATCATTAAGTCAAAACGTTGTAAGTCAAACCACTATAAGCCGGGGACTGTCGGTATAATGTCTCCTAATGTAGGTTTGGTTCCAATTGTTTAACAGTTGGATTTTATGTTTCAGAGGAAAACTTTAAGCTGAAAATGTTAAGTTGAAATTCATATCATAAAGCAACTCATTATTAAATATAAATTTCTAAAAGCAAGCCCAGCCGGCATGGCTTAGTGGTTGAGTGTCGACCTATGAACCAGGAGGTCATGGTTCAATTCCCGGTCAGAGCACATGCCTGGGTTGCAGACTTGACCCCCATTGTAAGGTGTGCAGGAGGCAGACGATCAATGATTCTCTCTCATCATTGATGTTTCTATCTCTCTCTCCCTCTTCTCCCTTCTTTTCTGAAATCAATATATATAAAATAAATTTATAAAAGCAATTATTACAGCCGATTCCAAAATTCTACATAGCCCTTTTGCTTACCTCTAGAAACTTAGAACCTTTTAGTTAAAAGGCAGAATAGTAAAAATAAAATAAAATAAATAAGGCAGAATAGTTATTACATTTGGTAAAAAAAACAAACACAGAATAGCTCTTGGCATTCAAATCATAATGCTTTGATGCCTAATGTCAACTTACCTTTCGAAGTTTATTTAAGTTGGGAAGCCGGGCCAGTGAACTTAGTTCCACATTAATCATACTCAGAAACTCTAGTTTTTTAAAAGTATCATTCAGGCCCTCAATTTCCCCATTGACACAACGGCAATTATCAATGACTAACTGTGTCATCTGTAAGAGAACAAGAATGATTCTTCAGTTTGCAGTCTGTTTAGCAAAAGACCTGGGGTCCAGACACTCTGGAAAAGTGAATATTAAAACCACCAATCCCTTTTTTCATTCTCCAAAAACACTGAAATACAGTCAACCAGTCATCACTCTAAGTTAACCCTTTACATTTAAACCTGGACTAAGAAGTTCAATGCCTGCTTCAAATCACTGATGAACTAAAAAAAACAAAACCTTTAAAGAAAGTTCCCATGTGAAACTTGTTTCCAACTCTGACGAGAACTCTCAACATCAGGGCATATATTTATGCAGGGAGGGGACACCTAGGCTCCTGGGAAAGGATGGGAGTGAGCTGCCTGAAAACAGTAGAGAGAAGCAAGGAAATTATTTTTCACTTTTTTTTATTTTTCAGTTTAATCCCCCTTATCTTTGGTTGATAAATGCCACCAAAACTCAAAAATACCATGTTACCCTCCATGAAGAAATGTTAGAAAGCTCCTCCTGAGACAACCCAGCTTTTGGATGTTATTTGTTCTAATATCAAGGCCAAACAATACCACCCAGAATGATACATCGTTGACAAAATGTTTATTTCTCCCTGCCATCTTGGCAGCATTTTTGTGACTTTCTCCCCATGCCTGGGAGGGGGCAGGTGGAGGCTGGATCCTCTATTAGGCCAGAGCTGTATGTAGAACAAAACTTTCTGCTGTGGGCCTGCCCGGACTTAATCTCAAGGGGGAGGCAGAAGACCCTGCCTCTCCATTCCCACACGTTCCAAGTGTTCTGAGCGCTCAAATTAGCAACAAGGAGTGCCACCTTCTCTCCTTGAAAGTGTCTTCGCCATAATGACTTCGCTGAGCAGCGAAGAAGGCATCATGATCTGTTTAGAGACGACGAAGCTGAGCCCCAGAGGGTGAGAAAGACCTGCCTGGTGTCAGACAGAACGTGGTAGCGCCGCAGAGCCGAGAGGGCCGCTAGGTTTGGTGTCAGAACACCGGTTCCTCCACCCGAATACCTGCATGGCCCCGGGACGCCACTAACACAGTCCACCTCCCCAGCGTGTCTGGAGGAGTCGAGTGAGTAGCGAAGGGGAACGGTGCTTTGTAAACTGGGAAGAGCTATGCAAACGCACGACCGTTATTACCCCACAGGGGAGGAAGGAGAGGCTGCAAAAAGCAACATCCGGGCACTCGCCAAAACTGGAAAGGAAATTACTTCCATGGCCCTAGGTAGGAGCGTGGGGGAGGGGCGACCGCGATGGGTAGGTAAAAGGATGGAGGGGGTATAAGTCCACTTTCCCATCCCAGGCCGTAAAGGCGCATTCCTAACGTGTGCTTCTGGGATGCAGCTTTTTAGGTTTGTTTTTTCCTGCAGCCCCCGAAGCGTCGGTGCTGGCAAACGTCCAGTTATCTCTGATAATAGCGGCCGCTTCTTGCTCCCGCCACCTGCCAATTCCGGGAAACAAACTTTTACAAGTGCTCGCCGCCGGCGGACAGCGCTGCCCGTCTTCACGCCGGTGCACAGCACCGCGGCCACCGCTGAGCGATGACATCCCTTCGGTCCGACTCCGGCACAAACTCAGCTCTTGCAGTTACGGCTCTCGACGCCCTCCTCCCTCCTCCGGGACCAGAAGCGCGAGGTTCCCTCTGGCACCCGCCCCACTCTGGCCACCTGCCTCTCCGGCCGACGGAAACCCCACACGGGGCGGGGACTCCCCCCCGGAAAAACGGGGTCGCCTCCCAGGGCCGCCTCCGCCCGGGGCGGGATGGGCTCGGTGACGCCGGAGAGGCACCCTCGGAAAGGGGGCGGAAACGCCTCCCGCCCGACCCCCCAAAAGTTGACCGCAACCCCGCCTCGCGTGGCCCCTCCCAACCCCGTCCCTTTAAGGCGACAGCGGCGAGCGCGCCTCATTTCGTTCCGCCGAGCCCATGTTTGAGGCACAAAACCCCTACGACCCAGGCGTTGCGTTTGGTGAAACCGTCTCCGGGGATCAAATTCGGAGTCGCGG